TTAGTATTTATGCAGTTAAGCACTTTTCAGTATATTTACTGGTATTTTTAATTTCCTCTTTTGTAAACTTCCTGTTCAAATCTTTTGACCGCTTTTTTTTTCCTATTGGGTTGTCTGTTTTTCATTTTGGTTAGTAGTAGTTCTTCATTTTGTATATAGTTCATTACATGTTTAATGTGTTGCAAAGAACTTTCCCCATTTTTTTTGGCTGTTTCATTTTGGACCAAAGTTCACCATTTTAATTTAGATGAATTTATCAGCCTCCCTCTTTAAAGCTAGGGTGTGTGTGTGTGTGTGTGTGTGTGTGTGTGTGTGATGCATAAGAAATCCTTTTCTACTGTGAGGTTGTAAAGACAGTCTCCTAAAGTCTCTTCTGATGGCATTAGAGGCAGGGCATGGTGTTTTATGCCTGTAATTCCAGCACTCTGGGAGGCTGAGGCCAGAGGATCACTTGAAGCGAGGAGTTCAAGACCAACCTGGGCAACATAAGATACCATCTCTATTTTTAAAATATTTAGATAAATAAAAGCATTAGGACTGTGCCTTCTACATTTAGCTCCTTAATTCTCACCTGAAATTGATTTCTGGGATAGCTTTAGATGGGAATCCAGTTTCATTTTTCCCCTTACATATTTCTAATTCTCCTAGCACTGTGTATTGAAAAGTCCATTCCTGCCACATTGATTTGCAGTTCCACTTGGTTGTGTATCAAGTCTGTAGTCCTGAATAAATCTGTTTCTGAGCCTTCTGTTCTTTTTCTTGGGTTATCTTATCTACCTTTGGGCCCACTCTCTGTTAGAGTCATTCAAATGAAGTGCTGGTATCAGGCAGGGCAAGTCTTTCTGCCTTGTTCTTGGATCTTGGCCTCATCTTGGCTAGTTTTTGCTTTCGCAGTTCCATACAAATTGTAAAATTATCTTGTTTAGGTTCTGTTAGATTTGGTTGGAATAATGCTGACTTTTGGGGAGGAGAATTGACACATTTACAATAACAAATCTTCCAAACCGTGGAGACATAGCAGTTTCTCTCTTTATTTCTATTCTTTTAAACATCTCTCAAGCAAGTTTTAAAAATTTCTCCATATAACCCTTACATATTTTATGTCAGCTATAGGCCTAAGTATTTCATATATTTGATGTAGTTATAAATGGTATCTTTTATTTTAAAATAATTTTCTGCTTACTGCTGTTACATTCAAATACAGTTAATTTTTAAGTCTTGATTTTGTATCCAGCAATTTTGTAATTTATTTATAAATTCTTGGGGATTTCCTGTCTATACAGGCATGTCATCTGGGGATAATACTAGAGGCAGCATGGTGTGGGGGGAGAGTATAGACTGGGAAAAGCACTGGCGGGGTCTAGACCTCTGCCCTGCCACTCATGAGTTGTGTGTCCTTAGACACATTATGCAGCCTCTCTTGTAACTTGGATTCATGAACTGTAAAATAAGGCTGATAACAGTACCTGCCTCATAGGGTTGCTGTGAGCATTGAGTCAGTAAAAGCACGTAGAGTTACGGAAGTGTACGCTCTTACTGTTCCCTTTCCAGTCCTTATGCTTTACATTTCTTGCCTTACCGCTCTGGCCAGAAGCTAAAGGACAGAGGTAAGGAAAGCGGGTTTCCGTGGCCTCCTGATCTGAAAGGAACCACTTGCAGTCGTTCACCACTAAGCATTTTATCCAGTGTGTGTGTCTAAGATTGCCTTTATCACATTAAGGAATGTGCATTTTATTCCTAGTTTGCCAAGGACTTTTCTTGTCACCGGCTGTTTAATTTTGTCACGTGCTTTTTCTGCATCTGTCAAATCAATCAAATTATTTTCTCCTATAATCTCCTAATATGATGAATTACATTTGGTTTTAAAATGATAAATGGGGTGGTCTGTATATTACATCGTAAAGTGAATGGATATCAGTCCTGCAGTGACCTGGTTCCTGGTTGCATGGAACCAGCCAGATGTGCACTACAATGAAAAGGTCAGAGCAAAGCCGGATGGTGGCCTGAGAATTGCTTTTGCAATTCCATGTAATCGCCGTAGATCCACGCCTACAGAGCAAGTCAAGCATGGCCGCCTCCACTTGATCTTCTGCTTCAAGATCCACATCTCCGAGCTCAGGAGATACATGAATGTCTCAATCTGATGGGCAGAAATTCTGTTTGCTCCCAGGATTCCGGTTACTTACAGGAATTTTGTACTGCCTCAGTCTGAAAAGCTGCCCTCCTGCTGTGTTCATGCTTTGATAGAACACCCTGAGAGCCTTGGCAAACTCTCAGTCATAGCTGGCTTGCTGTGTACACACTTGGCTCATCTCCCTGGCTGATGGCAGTTGCGCTGCCATCCCGCTTATCTTCAGAGTGTTGGAGGGCTTATGGGCTGAGGTGGAAAGAAAAGGTAACATTTATTTATGCATCTATTTCTTGAGGCATCTCTATAGTTATTTTTTTATTTGGTAGCATTCTATGACATCAGCAGTTATCAGGCACCAATTTGGATCCATCCCAAGGAGATCTCACAGGGCAGAAGAAAAAAAATGTCCTGCATTTTTTTGTTTATGAAACAAGATATGAATTAGCTCATTGAAAAGTTTGTTTCTTAAAAGACAAATACATGTCCCCAACGTAGGAGTCCAGGGGTAAGCTAAACAGCCAAGACTTGAGCAGTCTCTTACCTGGACCAGAAGCAGTTTTCGCAAGTGATTCTTTGAGAAGCACGTTCCCCTCTCGGAGGGCTCTGTTAATGTTTCTAGCAGTTCTGTCTCCTGCTCTAAGTGGGACAGCTTCAGATAAAGCTCTGGTGTGTGGTTTGATGCAGCCTACGAAGAACCTTGTCAGTTTAGTCTTTGTATCATCTGCACCTCCTTTGAGACTGGCAGTGTTCACGGCCATGGGAAAATCAAATGGGATGGGGGCGTGTATATGGTGAGCAGAGCTTATGCCCCTCAGGTTACACAGGAGTCAGTAAAGAAAACGACTGTTAAGGAACATCAAGAAGCTGTCATTAGAGATTTTCTAGCCACCTGTGATGCCCATTTTAACGTCATATGCACACACCTGGCTTGTATCCTTCACAGTGGAAATTTTCTTGGTGTCTACCAGGATGTGGCCTTTACCTGTGACCATGAGGCCCAGATGATTGCAGCTCAGCTCGGTGCAGCCTTCTGTAGTGGGGAGAGACATCAAAGAAAGAAATGTCTCAGTTGCCCAGCTCCAGTGCATTTGAGAAGTTGTTAAAGCATGTGATCACCCTGCAGGACTGGAACCCAGGGGCCCAGGGGAAAAGATACCTCTGGTCCCGTGCTGTTAGGACCCTGAGCACCCCTGTCCTCTACCTCGTCTGCAGCCCTAAATGTATGGCATTATGTCTGATGGAAGCATGCACCATGTGAGAGAATAAGTAAGCAAGGTACCTCGAAGGCCCCATAGGTCAACAATAAGGGCATTTGTCTGCAAATAATTCAGAAACTCCTGAGATGCATTTAAGGTTGTAAATTGGATGGGCTCTTCAATTTGTGGATTCACACTTTTCATACGGGTTTGGTATAGATGGTGTTTGGAAGGTCATAAATTCTGTACCTGAGAAAAATATAAAACAATTTAAAACCAGAAGGGACGCATTTGTAAAGAAAAAGGACAGATGAGCCAGAGATTTACAGCCCGTGTGTCAGATAACAGGTGACCTATAATTGGTTCTCAGGTTTACACATCCCACGTCTTATTTGTTCAACATGGATATCATCACTATACAGACAGTAATTTTTTTTTTTAAAGCCAGGCTGGGCACAGTGGCTCACGTCTGTAATCTCAGCATTTTGGAAGGCTGAGGCAGGCAGATAGCTTGAGCCCAGGAGTTCAAGACCAGCCTGGGCAACATGGCAAAACACCATCTCTAAAAAATACAAAAATTAGGTGGGTGTGATGGTGCATGCCTATAGTCCCAGCTGCTCAGGAGGCTAAGCCCAGGAGGCAGAGGCTGCAATAAGCTGAGATCGCTCCCCTCCACTGCACTCCAGCCTGGGCAACAGAGCGACACTGTCTCAAAAGACAAAAACAGATCTCAATACATCCCTTCTACCTAGATAATCAAAAACGTTAATTTTCCACGTCAGGTGGTAGTTTGGTTTTTGTTCTTCAAAGTCTCCCTCTATTGCCTTTTTTTTTGAGACGGAGTCTTGCTCTGTTGCCCAGGTTGGAGTGCATTTGCCTGATCTCAGCTCACTGCAACCTCCGCCTCACAGGTTCAAGTGATTCTCTTGCCTTAACCTCCCGAGTAGTTGGGATTACAGGCCCATGTCACTGCACCCAGCTAATTTTTGTATTTTTAGTAGAGATGGGTTTTCACCATGTTGGCTAGGCTGGTCTCAAACTCCTGACCTCAAGTGATCTGCCAGCCTAGGCCTCCTAAAGTGCTGGGATTACAGGCGTGAGCCGCGTGCCTGCTCTGCCTTGTCTGTTAATATCCTTTTAGCCTAATCAGTTTCAGCACATCCGGTGCTTCTGCCATACTGTACAGTCCTTTTGTTTCCAACTACAACCCAAAGTGTTGCTTAGGTAATACAGTTTTATGACATTCTTTCTGATAATTAGAATTTCTACTTTAGTTCTGTAGGAATTCAGCACACACTGGCCCCAGGCCAGAGACCTAGAGGGACATGTGGCTCCTCTATTAAACAGATGGGAAAAATAGTCATCTTGGAGTTAGGCAAACAGAGAAACTTCAGAAAATGTGATAAGCTCATTTTTAAAACTTGAAGAAACTGCACTGCCTCCCCCAGGAGCCACAGGGCAGGTGGTGTGTGGGGCTGGGTTCCTCGGCGCAGGCGGGTACCCTATCTGAATGCCCTGCTTTGCATGTTCATCCACTTGATGCCAAGGCACTGGACAATGTGAATCTGGAAACGCATCCTCTTGCCCAGCTCCAAAGGGTCGAGAACCACATCCTCCTTGCCATGCGTTCTACAAACAGAAGAGGGGAACATTGGCCTCGGGTTAGGCTGGGTTCAGATTGGCAGGTTCAGATTGTGATGATAAGGGAATTAAATAGACTCCTGAAGAAAGCTAATTTTGCTGAAGACAGGACAGGTAGTATCGCCAACAGTGGAGTTCAAAGACACTAGACAAGAGCCCATTACCCTGGCACGTCGAGGTTTAAGATCAGGACCTTCTCAAGGATTTCCCTGCCTGGAGGAAAGAGGAAAATAAACAGCCTCCTGTGACAGATGCACACAGATGTGGATGCCAGACTCGCACTGAAGATTTAGGTCCCAGTGGGACAGAGCGGGGAAGGCAGTTGACTGCCCAGATGCAGACTCTCAGGTTGTCTTCTTCCTTTTCCTTGGTTTCTTTGTAGTCCAGAGACAACCCGAGGCCTATCAGCTCAGAAACTGACAGGCAGCTTTCCAACAAGGTACCACTGTCATATCAACCAGGCTCTCGAAGTATGAAACCTATAAACCAGACTGCTCCTTTATTAATTTCAACAGGAAATACAACTTGCCAGGCAGCCTGGAAGCTCCAGGTAGCCAAATGACCAGAGAGATGCTTGGAGTAAAGACAGTGAGTTGTTGGTCAGCTTGGTTTCTTGGTCATGGAACCTTGAGGTTCTCTTCTTGAGCTGATTTCTTCTTCAGGAAGATGACAAGGTTGCACCGAGTGCCTGCCGTGCCTGTGAGGGCCGTGGCACCCAGACCAGGCTCCCTGCCAGCCGCTTGACTTAGGATTGCTAAAAGACTTGAGCTTTTGTAAAAACTGTGGTCTAAAGAAGAAAAACAGGTGAGTATTCAGAGAGGACAGTAAAGGATAATGGGCAATGTTTGGGACGGAGCTGATAGGTCAAAACAAAGCCCCTGCTCACAGAAAGGTCAGGCATCGCAATCCCTACCTCGAGAAAAGGGGAGAGCTGGAAAATCAGCTGCTACTTCTGGCTCCTGAAGGAGGTGGGGCCTTTGGCATGGGAAGCATGCTGCGTGGCAGATGCCAGGCTCACGGGCCAGGAGGGAGTGTGGCTGGGGAGGCCCCGCAGCCCGCTTGGCCTCTCTCCTGAGGGTCCATTGTTTGGAACCCACCCAGCTCTTTTGGTTTTGTCCAAGGCTCCTTCCACTACACCTGCCTCTTTGCTAGGTGTCTCCCTCATTCCTTCAATGCCCCCGGGCAGTGCCGGGCTGTCTTGGATGTGGTTGGGCATTCCAGGCCAGTTTGGCTGCTGTAGCAAAAATAAAATTTGTTGTGGCCAAATGGTAAATGAATGAGCTCATTCATTTGTCTTAAGAATGAACTGTTCAGGGTCCCATGTTGACCACCCCATCCGGAGAACTCAGGCTTGCTCTGGAGTTTCTATGTGTGACTACCCAGAACTAGGCAAGGGGGAGAAGGAGCCACTCACTGTCCTGTCAGGGAGCAAGGTGCTATTGCAGATATGCAGCACGGCCTCCTCCAGCCCGTCACAGTTCAGAAACTCTGCCTGCTCCTCCAGTTTCATGCAGTAGGCCAGCGACTGGAGCCAGATGTGAGCTGAGACCAAGTGGATGACCTCAACAGGATCCCAGAAAGGGTCGTCTTGAGCCACAGGGCTGTCATCTCCATCTAGAAAGTGCTGGTAAAGTTCCTCCATTAGGAATTTCCTATTGATGAACTTGGCTTTGACCATATCCACACCTAGAAACAGAGGTAAGTCACCAGTGTTTGAGTTCATCTGCTGCTCTGACAATTCACTCTGATCTTTCCCAGCGCACCCCCTCCATTGACTGGGTTTGGGGTACTCATGACCATACACCACTCTCTTCAAACTTAGCTTGATGAGGGCAAGAATACCGTATTCATTCCTGGACCTGCTACTTCAGCACTGCCTGAGCCTAGGAAGTGACTCAGGAGATGATGGAGGAGCTAGGAAGCAGGCCATCTCAGGAGAAATGAAGATTTGGGGATGGTGGTGTGCCTGATGGTCCTCAAAGATGCCCACGTCCTAATCCCCAGAACCCGTGAATATGTTACTTTACATGGCAAACGGAAATTAAGGTTTGTCATCAGCTGACCTTAAAATACGGAGATTAGCCTGGATTATCCAGGTGGCCTTCAGTGTGGCAGAGAGAAGCAGAAGAGAGGGTCCGAAAGAGCTGTGACAATGCCTGCGGGGTCAGAGAGCAGCCATGTGGTGGCTTTGAAGGTGGAGGGAGGTGGCCTCTGAAAGCTGGAAAGGGTCGGGAAACAGCTGTTCTTCCTCAGGCCCAGAAAGCATTACAGCCCTGTGGACACCTTGCTTTTAGCCCACGAGACCCAGTTTGGATTTCCCATCTGTAGAATTAGCAGGGAGTAAATTTGTGCCATTTAATGAGCCCGGTAATTCATTAACAGCAGCCATGGAAGGTGATGCAGGGTAGTTAGTCTGGAGAAGAGCTGAGAAGTGGCTCCCCCGCCATGACTGGAGTGCGCACACATCCACACGCAAAGGAGACACTCCTCACAGCCCTGCCAGCCGAGCACAGCAGGCATTCTGAGCTCCCTTCGCCCAGTGGGCAGCAAATCCAGGACAAGAGCTGCTGCTGTCTTCACTGGGTGAGGACGGGGACACTGTCAACACTGGCTCTGGAGAGGGACGAAACCTGAAGCCACAGGATTCCAGGTAGGTAGTTTTTAGACCATAAGTCAGAACTAGCAACTCCTTTTCTGGGCAACTTGAAAAGCAGACACAGAAATCAACAGATAACTCATTCTCTGTAGGTCTGATGCATCTTCACAAAAAGGACACTACTCTGGAAAGAGATTGCAGCCTTTTCTGTTGGCCTCAGAGTGAACAACCACAGTTCTCTCCTAGAGGCAGCACCACAGTGAAAGAAGAAGAAGGGCGGCAGGAAACAGCAGGGGCTCTAGTCATTGTCGTTTTTCTGTTTGTGTGTTTTTCGTTTCTTTTTAAGACATGTGATCCCACTCTGTCACCAGGCTGAAGTGCAGCGGCCCAGTCAGAGCTCACTGCAGCCTCGAACTCCTGGGCTCAGTCGGCCCTCCTGCTTCAGCCTGAGTAGCTGGACTGCAGGCATGCGCCACTGCACCGGCTTATTCTGGTTTTCCTTAAAGACTTTAGGCTAGGGAACTAAGATCATGGGAATCTAGATAATACATGAATTCACTGGCTCATTACCTGTGGATATCAGACCACAGGCGTGTCAGTTAAAACTGCATGTCATCCTTGGGCTGAGGAGGAAGCAGGTCAGCGGTGCTCTGGTACAGGCTGGGAGCCCAGGCTGACTCCTTCCTGCTCCCGGGTAGGCTCTGCAGGCTCCGAGGTCCCTGGCGGGATGTGCTGCTCACCTGTGCCGACAGCTCTTGGGTGAATTCTGCTGAAAAGTAACCACAAGCTGGCAGCATGTCAAGGTTGGAAAACCCTCCCAGCCCTCACACAGAGCCCTGGTTTGCTCCTGAGCTTGTCTGTGATGTGAGACTCCAACAGTTGCACAAAACTGCACGTGGACACTGCGTCCTCCCTGAGTGCTGCAGGGGCAGCCACGGTCCACATGGTGGGCGGGAGGATAGGTGAGCACTTAGGAGGTCAGCCGACAAAGTGCCACTCGTGTCTGTAGCTGGGACCCACAGCTGTCTGCTGGTCATCTAGTCTTCAGAGGTGCCTGTCGCGTGTGCACTGCACACATGTCTGCACCATGTCACAGAGACCCCCACATTACAGCCTTTCTGAGGCCTCCTGAGGAGAGCAGGGCTTCATCTGAGGAAAGTCACTGGTACTAAGCTTACCTGTTTTTTTTTGTGACAGGGTCTTGCTCTGTCGCTCAGGCTGGAGTGCAGTGGTGTGATCACAGCTCACTGCAGCCTCGATCTTGTCAGGTCATTCTACCTCAGCCTCCCCAGCAGCTGGGACTACAGTTGCTCACCATTTACCCAGCTAATTTTGTATTTTTTGTAGAGATGGGGTTTCACCATGTTGCCCAAGCTGGTCTCAAACTCCTGAGCTCAAGTCATCCACCCACCTCGGCCTCCACAGATCCTGGGATTACAGGTGTGAACCACCGTGCCAGGCCTTCTCTTACTTGTTTCAATGTAAAAATGGACAGTCTTGAGGATGACAGATTGGTAAGGTTTATATCTTCATGAGAAAAAAAAAACCCAGACTGTACAGCCCCCTTAAAAGAGAACCTGCTGTGTAAGCAGGACAGCTACTGTGCTGGTGACAAGGTGCTGCTTGGGAAAAGGACCCTGCAGAATGAATCCAGGCCCTCAGCTCTCCCAGTGATAATGTGAAAACACCGTCTGCCGCCCCGTTTCTGGAAATGACAGGCAGGCCGTCATGAGCGCCTTCGTGTGCACAGAGTAACCCTTCTGCTAGCAACAGTTTAAAAGGCGATTTTTCCACTTGCCTTAAACTAGAATACAAAATAAACAGAATAGCATGGAAAAGGGATTTTTAGAATTAGAATTTTTCTTAAGACAGGAAACTGCCAAGCCAACTTCTGGGGGAAAGCCTGGCCTGAGAGAGGCGCACGGACTATCAGGGCACCAGAGCCAGTTTGCCCCAGTGGCTTTTGCTGGAAAAAGAGAAAAATGAAAAGCGCAAACACACTGAGGGGTCCCTCGGAAGGCCTCATGGAACATGTAGAAGTCCAGTCTGACTCCCCAGAGAGTCACACAGACCTGCATGAAAGGGGCCGGTCTCTGAGGAGCTGGGTTCCAGGAGGATCCTGGCTCAGTTTCCTCCTCGAGGCAGGATTGGCAGCCCCAACACCTAGAGCATGAAACCCTGTGGACAAGGTGGTGGGCACACAGGTGCTGACCATATCGCATGTGTATATATGCTTATCTCTCATTTCACAATTTTTAAAAGCTTTAAAAAAACTGCTCTTGACCCAAAACATTTTGGCAATTTTCAGGCAATGAACAGATGAGCAGAAAAGTGAAACTCAGAGAAGCCCCAATTGCTGAGTAGAGAGGGAGCATCCCGGGGTGGGGGCCGGAGGCGCAGCCTGAGGGCTGCTGCAGAGGCCTGGTGTGTGCACAGGGGCATTGCAAGACAGGCCTGCATGTTCTGTTTCCTCTGAGGGCAGAAATGGGGAAGCAGGGTCTTAAGTTCCTAACATGGACGTTCCTGATAGCAGCGTCAAGTGCATCAGCCAGTGAGCCGGTGAAACAGCCTTTTCTGGAGTCCCTGGAAGTGTGGCTTTTCTCATCACTGCAGAAAGGCAGCCTGTGCGCTCATGTGCACACACACGCATGCACATACATGCACATATGTACATGGACAGACACCACTACCACTTGGATAAACTCCCAGGCTCCCTCCTGGTACAAAAGCCTTTGAGTCATATTCAGCACGACCAGATGCTCAGTGCAGGCAGTTAGGAAAGCTCCCAGGAGCTGCTTCTGTGAGGGAAAGGACCCAGGACAGGGAGCAGCAAAGAGGGTCCTCGTGTCCCCCAGAACTCCAGCTCATACCTGGAATACGTTTTGCCTTTCCTGGGTCTCCAGGGCTGCAGCCGGTGAAGATAGCCTGTGTCCTGTGGAGCTCACCTCGTGAGTCCTGCGGCTGGTCACCTTCACCATCACCTCCTTCTTTAGGTCATAGCCCCTGGAATCTGACGACGCTAAATTCTTCACCCTCAATTCCATGTTAAGTCCCTGGTAAAAGAAACACTTCTCACTAAATAATCTTACATTTGGCCAGGTACAGTGGCTCACACCTGTCACCCCAGCACTTTGGGAGGCTGAGGTGGGTGGATTGCTTGAGCCCAGGAGTTCAAGACTAGTTTCAGCAACATAGCAAAACCCTGTCTCTATAAAAATACAAAAATTAGCCAAGCATGGTAGTGCACACCTGTAGTCCCAGCTACCTGGGAGGCTGAGGTAGGAGGTTCACTTGAACCTGGCAAGTGGAGGTTGCAGTGAGCCGAGATTGCACTACTGTGCTCCAGCCTGGGTGACAGAATGAGACCTTGTCCAAACAAACCAACAGCTTATACCACCTTTGCAATTTCTTTTTCATCCTCTCACCCTCAGGCTTCCAAAATGATGAGTGAATAAGACTTTCTCCCCACTTTTTGTTTTTTTGAGATGGAGTTTCGCTCTTGTTGCCCAGGCTGGAGTGCAATGGCTCAATCTCAGTTCACCACAATGTCTGCCTCCCAGGTTCAAGTGATTCTCTGGCCTCAGCCTCCCAAGTAGCTGGATTACAGGCACGTGCCACCACACCCAGCTTATTTTTTTTTTTTTAGTAGAGACGGGGGTTTCTCTGTGTTGCTCAGGCTGGTCTTGAACTCCCAACCTCAGGTAATCCACCCACCTCAGCCTCCCAAAGTGATGGGATTACAGGCATGAGCCATTGTGCCAGGCCCATTTGTTTTTGAGACCGCCATCTCATTCTGTTGTTCAGGCTGGTGTCCAGTGGCATGAGCTCTGCTCACTGCAGCCTCTACCTCCCGGACTCAAGCAATCCTCCCACCTCAGCCTCCTGAGTAGCTGGGACTGCAGGTGTGTGCCACCATGTCTGGCTAATTTTTAAATTTTTTGTAGAGATGAGGTCTCACTTTGTTTCCCAGGCTGGGCCTTGAACTCCTGGGTTCAAGCGATTCTCCTGCCTTGGCCCCCCAAAGTGCTAGGATTACAGGCATGAGACACCACCCCAGGGACCATGTATACATTTGTATGCTTATTCATTCATTCGT